GCAGCACAGTTAGCAGTGTTTAACTTTTTTGACCGACTGTGCCTTGAAGTTACTGAGATTAATCAAATAATTTTTAATAGTCACTGAGATTCCTTGATGTTCACCCAAATCCGTTCTCATTGTTTAACACGGACACCAATATTTCAGGTATAAAATGTTAGCTAACCTTCTGTTGGAGACTGTCCCCATCATCACATGAGTTTGAGGGACATTAGTCTGGAGAAATTACTCTGGAAAGCATAAAATGCCCAAAAAGTACAAAACTGTTGGGCTGTGCTAAAACAAGCACCGCGTAGGCTACAGCTTTACTAGCCAGCCAGAGGTTTGGTTACGCTAATTGACTCAAATAATTGTCATGCAGACCCATGGCTACTTACTAACACTACTACCGTACGTTCTAAACATGTTGTGTCCCTCTCCTTTCCTCAGAATAAAAATGTAGGCCTACAGAAGCCCAACTTCTCGGTAGCTCGAGACAAGACAGAGTTGTGACAATTTCAGTGCACGCGAAGCCTGGATCTAAACGGAACACGATTACAGGTGCACACTTTTTGTATGAGCCAAACTGATGGCAAAAGAAGCTCCGCTAGTAAAGACTAATTTAGTATTTTGTAAAAACAAAAAAGAGATACTGTATATCATAATAAATAAGAAAATACTGGCAGATCAATATAATGTCCTTGTAGATCTAATTACATTTAGAGGATTCTAAATTAATATATATAAGGGGCTTTTATACAGCTGGGAGAACCTATTCAAGTAAGTAAATACATTTCGAAAATGTGAGAAAAAAACGATGTATTATTAGCTAACTAGCTACAATGCAGGCTAACTCAAACGAGCTGCTAACGTAGCTACAGTAGCTAGCTACACTTAGTATTACTTTCTTAGCTACAGTATACACATCTCTCTGGCATATTACATAATTTATGCAGCAGCATACAATACATATTTGGACTCACCTTGTTGTGCTGTGCTCAATTGAAATTGAGTGGCAGTCCTTCGTGGGAAAATGTTGTCATCAAACTTTGTCAAAGTCTGGCATTCTCTGGATTTATGGTGCTTTCAATCACAATACATTTGAGATTTGTTGGAAAAGCATTCCAGGTGAAGCTGGTTGAGAGAATGCCAAGAGTGTGCAAAGCTGTCATCAAGGCAAAGGGTGGAAATTTGAAGAATCTCAAATATAAAATATATTTTGATTTGTTTAACACTTTTTTGGTTACTACATGATTCCATATGTGTGATTTCATAGTTTTGATGTCTTCACTATTATTCTACGATGTAGAAAATAGTACAAATAAAGAAAAACCCTTGAATGAGTAGGTGTGTCCAAACTTTTGACTGGTACTTTATATCACTTGTTGGCCTATCCCTCTGTACTGGTACAGATCTACTACTCTCCCCCTTGACCCATCTTCCTCTACTTTCTTCACTGCCTCAGCATATAACAACTTCTGCACTACTCTTACCCTGGAAACCTCAACCTGCCTCTCTCGCATGGGACATTTCTGATCCCCAGCCCCATGGGCACCCCTACAATTAGCACATACCACTACTTTCCCCAATGCTACACATTCCTTTTCTCATGCCCTTCTGCAGACTTCTCACACCTTGGAACCTCCCTCCTACACACTGCTGCCACATGCCCATAAGTTTGACACCTGTAACACCGTAATGTATTCGGCACATAAGCTCATACAGGATAACTTATATATCCTAACTTCACTTTGTCGGGCAAAGACTCAACTTCAAAACTCAAAAGAACAGACAATGACTCTTATGTTTCCCCACTCTCGCCACCCTGTTTGCGTCGTACCAAACGACGAGCATCACAAACACCGGGAATCTTCCCCTTCAGTTGGTCAACTTTCACATTTACATTTACTGCTACCCCAGTAATCACTCCTTTCAATGGCGCCCTTTTCTTGAGAGCAAAACAATTCACATTTCTTGCCCCCATTTGTTTAACCCCGAGCGCATTCTCCCTCTGGCCAGCAGAAACACAAACAATTATCACTAAACCACTTCTGGTTACCCTCACCGATTCCACTATACCCAACTCTTTTTTTCACCCACCCTGAAACCACAAATGGATCAGCCAAAAGGAAAGGGTCCACTTTTTCCAAAAACTTCACTCCTACTGTCACAGACTCATCTTTATCCTGACCCTCGGTGCAAGCCTCGGGCTCCGAGTACTTCACCTCACCTACCACCTCCGATACTTCACGCTCATTCACTTCCATTTCTCCTCCTGTCTTCAGATAACTCTGCTTACATTTTCTACCATTCTTCTTTAACAAACCTTCTCCCTTTTCCCCGCCATTTTTAACCGACTCAAGCTCACAATCTTCCTCCCTCTCTCTCTTAGACCTCCTCTGCTTCTCTTTTTACCTCCATTCCTCCTCCGTCTCCTTATGATAATACTGCACTTCTCCTGAAATACATCTTGCTCTTGCATTCTCAAGGGACGCCATTTACGTGGCTCTCCAGTCGAATCTTTGTCTAAAGTTACTTCCACCGTACTCCTGATTCGCACCAGGGGACTCTGGCATCAACGCCTATCTCTCAATTTTCTTATCTTGTTCTTGGCTAACCTGTTCGAAAAGTTCAGCGCTCTCTCGCTCTCGCATCGCCACCATGAACGTACAGTACACACTCCGTCTTTTTTAATCCCCCACCGGCTGGCGTTCCCAACTAGCGTCAAATTCGTCATGGGAACCACTCTATATAATTGGTCATTGCACAGCGGTCGGCGCTGGTGATTTGCATAAACTTGGGAAATGCTGAACTTTTTCACGCCTCCCACGCCACGTTCGAGCCGCCCAACAGTCCCCCGCCCACTCTGCTTCCCACCGCTTTCCTTCCATTGAAAATGAATGGGAAGCGGTGTCGCTTTTGCCGCACCGCCAACAGATGGAGAGGCCAATGCGGAGCTTGTGCAGTATAGCTCCAAGGTGCTAGAGTTGAAAAGAAGCAAAGTCGTTTTGGACAAGGTTTGAGAGCTGTGTATGGACATCTCTGGAAGTTTCATGATCCTGTTTATATATACTGTGTTGCCCATTACAGAACAGTTTCAGGAATTTAAAATAAAATGCTGCATCATGGCCATATGTCTCTCTGCAGGGCTCCGGATCCTGAGAGAAGATTGTCAAGGTGACTGGGTCACTAATCCCGGAGCAGGTGTTATACAGGTTAAAGCAAGAGGCTTCTGGATGACATCATGGAGGACTTTTTATTTCAGGTCATTTGCACCTTTACAGTATTGGTTGACTTTCAGACATCTATGGAAAACAGCTCAGATAAGATAGTAGCCTACTTTATTAATCCCCAAAGGGGACATTTGTTTGCATCAGCTGATTCATACACCAATGAATACACAATTTGTGACATACCCTATAGCCCTTAAACTCAACGTGACCTCGAAGCCAGTTCCACTGCATATTTGAATTGTTCCTCTCTAATCAGGGACTGATTTAGATCTGGAACACCAGGTGTGGAATCAATTATCAGGTAGAACAGAAAACCAGCAGGCTCCGGACCTCGTAGGGTAAGAGTTGAGTACCCCTGCCCTATAGTGAAGCATTCTATAAGGTTTTGAACTGTGTAGTGCTCTGAAATTATATTTTCCCCAAACTGTTGAAAGAACCCTTGTTTACTGAGGCCATCCTCTCTGTCCTCAGAAATAATTTGCTGTCTTATCATCTTTTGCACTGTGTTATTGTTTTTAAAAGTAAAATATCAATCACCAATGAGTCTTGATTGTTATTGAAGTTTCATGTTCATACTGAAAAAGTTCTCCCAAGTTCCCACCTTTTCAGTCCATCTACCTTCAGCTCCCGAGGTATCTGTCTGAGGTATATATTTTTGCAAATACACTACATGGCCAAAAGTATGTGGATACCTGCTTGTCGAACATCTCATTCCAAAATCATGGGCATTAATATGGAGTTGGTCCTCCCTTTGCTGCTATAACAGCTTCCACTCTTCTGGGAAGGCTTTCCACTAGATGTTGGAACATTGCTGTGGGGACTTGCTTCCATTCAGCCACAAGAGCATTAGTGAGGTCGGGCACTGATGTGGGCCGATTAGGCCTGGATCGCAGTCGGCGTTCCAATTCATCCCAAAGGTGTTCTATGGGGTTGAGGTCAGGGCTCTGTGCAGGCCAGTCAAGTTCTTCCACACCGATCTCGACAAACCATTTCTGTATGGACCTTGCTTTGTGCACGGGGTCATTGTCATGCTGAAACAGGAAAGGGCCTTCCCCAAACTGTTGCCACAAAGTTGGAACCACAGAATCATCTAGAATGTTATTGTATGCTGTAAGATTTCCCATTCTTTGGAACTAAGGGGCCTAGCCCGAACCATGAAAAACAGCCCCAGACCATTATTCCTCCTCCACCAAACTTTAAAGTTGGCACTATGCATTCGGGCAGGTAGCGTTCTCCTGGTATCCCCCAAACCCAGATTTGTCCGTCGGACTGACAGATGGTGAAGCGTGATTCATCACTCCAGAGAACGCATTTCCACTGTTCCAGAGTCCAATGGCGGCGAGCTTTACACCACTCCAGCCGATGCTTGGCATTGCGCAAGGTGATTTTAGGCTTGTGTGTGGCTGCTCGGCCATGGAAACCCATTTCATGAAGCTCCCAACAAACAGTTATTGTGCTGATGTTGCTTCCAGAGGCAGTTTGGAACTAAGTAGTAAGTGTTGCAACCGAGGACAGACAATTTTTATATGCTTCAGCACTCTGTGGTCCCATTCTGTGAGCTTGTGTGGCCTACCACTTCGCGGCTGAGCTGTTGTTGCTCCTAGACGTTTCGACTTCACAGCACTTACAGTTGACCGGGGCAGATCTAGCAGGGCAGAAATTTGACGAACTGACTTGTTGGAAAGGTGGCATCCTATAACGGGGCCACGTTGAAAGTCACTGCGCTATTCAGTACGGGCCATTCTACTGCCAATGTTTGTCTATGGAGATTGCATGGCTGTGTACTCAATCCACTAATTTGAAGGGGTGTCAACATACTTTCGGCATGTGGTGCATATTATATCTTTTTTTTGCATGCTTTTTGTTGCCCCTAAAATGTATGTTATGTTTATTTTCTTGGAGCTCATGTAGGTATTTATTTCTGCATCTTATTGCTGTAGCTGTGGTAAATGAAATGAGTGAAAGTGAAAATGAAAATATCAATGACTCAGTGACTCCACCTGCCCTGTGGTGTGACAGCGGGACAAGGCTATCAGCCTGAAACCTATGTTTTTAATCATGCTGTGTGGATGAATGTTTGCTTCCCAGCAGGAATTACTCCAAAAGTAGCCTTTATTTTGAATGACGCTTTACTAATGTAAATGGTACTTAGCCTAACATCAAATATGTAATTAATTTACCATCCAGTACAGGAGTCCAAAATGTCACTTTTATTTACTTTCATGCACCTGGTTCCCAAAAAAGTGTCAGATTGACCGCTTTAGTGTTGTTTGGATCCCAGATTGCAAATTAAATTAGTATAATCTGATTATAATCCCCATTACAGGTAATCCGTTACTACCCAACCTGATCAGCTCCAGAGGACCCAAGTAAGGGCCTCCAGCCCTCTCGGAAGCGGAGAAGCTTGCCCACGTGCAGGCTCTCCATACCCAGGGTCTCGCTCATCATGCTGGGCTCAACTGTGTACAACAGGTCCCCGTCAATCTGCTCCCTCTCAAAGGCCTGGCAGTACTGGCCCAAATTGAGCAGTCGCAGGAAGGAGCACACCTGTGCCACACTCAGGTCCTGTAGATTAGAGGGCACCTCTGCTAAGGAGCAGAAGAGTGGGTGCCGTGAGCCGCCAGAGTAGGACTGGGAATTGTTCTCCAATGATGGAGGAAGGGGTGGAAGTTTGTGTCTAGCTATTTGTAAATCTTGTGGTTTAGGGGGTAGAGGTGGGGGTCTTGCTGCTTTTCTCTGTAAAGTAGGAGACTTGGTTGTCTCAAAGTCAAGGTGCTGGTAGAGGTTGATTTCATCACCCTGGTTCTTCAGGCTCATGTAGATTGGCTTCACCTCCATGTATTCGTGACCATTGTCAATCAACTCTTGCTTATTCAAAATGGTGATATCTGCAGAGGCAAACTAGGTTTTAGTTATTTTGAACATTTACATCTGTCAATTGCCAATTAGGATATTTATGTGCTGTAATATCACTAAAAAGACTAGTGAGGTCACAAACAATTTATGTTCTGATAGCACACTACAGGAGTCCCACAGGGATTTGTACTTGGTCCATTTTACATTTCTGATTTCTCAAATTCAAGGAGACAGACTCCTATGCAGCATCCTGCATCAATTCTTGCTTCATTGATACTGTATGTTGGCTATATGGCAAACTCAATTTCTCTAAAACGGAGTAAACCAGTTTAGTCCCTGCCTCTTCAACTGTGCCACGCTCACACCAAACCTGCATAGAAGTCTCCTCAAATTCAAATCAAATCAAATGTTATTTGTCACATACACGTGTTTAGCAGATGTTATAGCGGGTGTAGCGAAATGCTTGCGCTTCTAGCTCCAACAGTGCAGTAATATCTAACAATTTCACAACATATACCCAATACACACAAAAAAGTGTGCCATTCTTTTTGTAGGTCACTTGATGTCATCCTACGGTTGTTGAGTGACATTCGAATGAGTTGGCGGTCATCCCGGTCAGTAGAGAGTCGTTTTCGCCCTCTGCCGGTCTGTAGCTTTGTTGTCCCCAATGTCTGCTGCTTGACCTTGTTCTTATGAACCGCCGTCTTTGAAATTTTAAGGATGGAAGCAACCTGACGCTCACTGTGTCCCTCTGCCAGTAAAGCCAGAATTGAACCCTTCTTTTCCTCACTTAAAACTTTCCTTTTCAACTCTTTTGGCATGGTCAATAGTTATTTTTTGATTAATATTACTTTTGAGGTACTATTAGCACTGTTTTTTGCCATCCAGCAGGTCCTATTGCAAGAGGATAGTGATGACCACAGCAGTGGTTTTTATACTTTTCCTCGTTAAATAAGATTTGGTTCAGGTGATCACCTAATCAGTACCTAATTCAGTAGAATGAGGTGTGCCTGTGTTGGAATTCAACAGACACTGGAATGGAATGGCTGTCATACATGTAGAGATGCTGATTTAAGAATAATTTGCAGTGGTCTCTCAATTTTTTCCACAGCTGTATATGGACAATATTATAGAATAGAATGCAGTATATACATATGGGATGAGTAGTGTAAGATATGTAAACATTATTAAAGTGACTAGTGTTCCATTTCTTAAAGTGGCCAGTGATTTCAATAGGCAGCAGCAGCCTCTAATGTGCTAGTGATGGCTATTTAACAGTCTGATGGCCTTGAGATAGAAGCTGTTTTTCATTCTCTCGGTCCCAGCTTTGATGCACCTGTACTGATCTCGCCTTCTGGATGATAGCAGGGTGAACAGGCAGTGGCTCGGGTGGTTGATGTCCTTGATGATCTTTTTGGCCTTCCTGTGACATCGGGTGCTGTATGTGTCTTGGAGGGCGGGTAGTTTGCCCCCGGTAATGCGTTCGGCAGACCGCACCACCCTCTGGAGAGCCCTGCGGTTGTGGGCGGTGCAGTTGCCGTACCAGGCGGTGATCCAGCCCGACAGGATGCTCTCAATTGTGCATCTGTAAACGTTTGTGAGGGTTTTTAGGTGATAAGCAACATTTCTTCAGCCTCCTGAGGTTGAAGAGGCTCTGTTGCGCCTTCTTCACCACACTGTCTGCGTGGGTGGACCATTTCAGTTTGTCGGTGATGTGTACGCCAAGGAACTTGAAGCTTTCCACCTTCTCCACTGCGGTCCCGTCGATGTGGATAGGGGGGTGCACCCTCTGCTGTTTCCTGAAGTCCACGATCATCTCCTTTGTTTTGTTGATGTTGAGTGAGAGGTTATTTTCCTGGCACCACACTCCCAGAGCCCTCACCTCCTCCCTGTAGGCGGTCTCGTCATTGTTGGTAATCAAGCCTACTACTGTTGTGTCGTCTGCAAACTTGATGATTGAGTTGGAGGCGTGCTTGGCCACGCAGTCATGGGTGAACAGGGAGTACAGGAGGGGGCTGAGCACGCACCCTTGTGTTGAGGATCAGTGAAGTGGAGATGTTGTTTCCTACCTTCACCACCTGGGGGCGGCCCGTCAGGAAGTCCAGGACCCAGTTGCACAGGGCGGGGTTCAGACCCAGGGTCTCGAGCTTAATGATGAGCTTGGAGGGTACTATGGTGTTGAATGCTGAGCTATAGTCAATGAACAGCATTCTTACATAGGTATTCCTCTTGTCCAGATGGGATAGGGCAGTGTGCAGTGTGATGGCAATTGCATCGTCTGTGGATCTATTGGGGCGGTAAGCAAATTGAAGTGGGTCTAGGGTGACAGGTAAGGTAGAGGTGATATGATCCTTGACTTGTCTCTCAAAGCACTTCATGATGACAGAGGTGAGTGCTACAGGGCGATAGTCATTTAGTTCAGTTACCTTTGCTTTCTTGGGTACAGGAACAATGGTGGCCATCTTGAAGCATGTGGGAACAGCAGACTGGGAAAGGGAGAGATTGAAAATGTCCATGAACACACCAGCCAGCTGGTCTGCGCATGCTCTGAGGACGCGGCTAGGGATGGCCGTCTGGGCCGGCAGCCTTGCGGGGATTAACGTGCTTAAATGTCTTAATCACGTCGGCCATGGAGAAGGAGAGGCCACAGTCCTTGGTAGTGGGCCTCGTCAGTGGCACTGTGTTATCCTCAAAGCGGGCGAAGAAGGTGTTTAGCTTGTCTGGAAGCGAGACGTCGGTGTCGGCGACGTGGCTGGTTTTCTTTTTGTAGTCCGTGATTGTCTGTAGACCCTGCCACATACGTCTTGTGTCTGAGCCGTTGAATTGCGACTCCACTTTGTCTCTATACTGATGTTTTGCCAGTTTAATTGCCTTGCGGAGTGAGTAGCTACACTGTTTGTATTCTGCCATATTCCCAGTCACCTTGCCATGGTTGAATGCGGTGGTTCGCGCTTTCAGATTTGCGCGAATGCTGCCGTCTATCCACGGTTTCTGGTTAGGGTAGGTTTTAATAGTCACAGTGGGCACAACATCACCTATACACTTCCTGATAAACTCAGTCACCGTTTCAGTGAATATGTCTAAATTATTTTCGGAAGCTACCCGGAACATATCCCAGTCCGCGTGATCAAAACAATCTTGAAGCGTGGATTCCGATTGGTCAGACCAGCGTTGAATAGTCCTTAGCACGGGTACTTCCTGTTTGAGTTTCTACCTATAGGAAGGGAGAAGCAAAATGGAGTCGTGGTCAGATTTGCCAAAAGGAGGGCAGGGGAGAGCCTTATAACCATCCCGGAAGTTTGAATAGCAATGGTCGAGGATTTTAGCAGCGCGAGTACAACAGTCGATATGTTGATAGAACTTCGGCAGCCTAGTCCTCAAATTTGCTTTGTTAAAATCACCGGCTACAATAAATGCAGCCTCAGGATATTTGGTTTCCAGTTTGCATAAGGTCCAGTGAAGTTCTTTGAGGGCCGTCGTGGTATTGGCTTGAGGGGGGGATATACATGGCCGTGACTATAACCGAAGAAAATTATCTTGGGAGATAATACGGTCGGCATTTGATTGTGAGATATTCTAAGTCGGGTGAACAGAAGGACTCGAGTTCCTCTATGTTACTATAATTACACCACGAGTCGTTAATCATGAAACACACACATCCGCCCTTCTGCTTCCCGGAGAGATATTCATTCCTGTCTGCGCGATGAACTGAGAACCCATCTGGCTGGACCGATTTCGACAGAATATCCCAAGAGAGCCATGTTTCCGTGAAACAGAGTATGTTACAGGCCTTGATGTCTCTCTGGAAAGAAATCCTTGCCCTTAGTTCGTCGACTTTGTTAACCAAAGATTGAACATTAGCGAGTAGAATACTGGGTGGTGTGCGCGCCTCCTAAGTCGGACCAGCAGGCCGCTCCAAGTGCCTCTCCTCCGCCGGCGATGTTTTGGGTCAGCCGCTGGAATCAGTTCAGTTGCCCTGGGGAGAGCAAACAAAGGATCTGCTTCGGGAAAGTCGTATTCCTGGTCGTAATGCTGGTGAGTTACCGCCGCTCTGATATCCAATAGTTTTTCCCGGCTGTATGTAATGATGCAAAACACTTTCTGAGCTAATAATGTAAAAAATAAAACATAAAAAAACAAAATACTGCAAAGTTTCCTAAGAGCTAGTCGCGGTGCCAGTGTACATTATATGGGAAATCAGAACAAAATTAAAGAGGACCGAGTACAAATCCCTGTGGGACTCCTCTGGGTCTTCTGTAGTGTGGTGTAGTGATGCTATTGCTGATCCACACTTACTAATCTGTCACCCACCATACCGTTCATCATCACTCACCAAAGGGAGGTGTAATGTAACAATACTTTTTTCATGCAGAGGGCTGCTGTGTACCTTGAAAGATGAAAAGGTTTGTGTGGCCCAGCTCATCGATCTGCCCCCCCAATGTTGCACAGGCGTCCTCAAACTGGCCCTGATCGAGTCCCTCCAACCCCTCTGCCAGTGCAATACGCACCTCCTTCATATACATGGGCAGCACCAGAGGAGTGTGTCTGGAGAGGATTCCTGAATAACAACAACACATAATTAATAAGTTCTCGGATACCAAATCTGCATTCTCTTGAACTCCATGCTAAACAGAATAGATGTATAGGTTACATATTTTCAAATGCAAAGTTCTCACTATTTGTGGTAAAAGGCTACAGTGGGGAAAAAAAGTATTTAGCCAAGAATGGGGTAAAGAGAGGAGTAGCCTTTCTGAGAAGACTATTACAACCACCTGAAAATATCATGCATATACAGTGGGGGAAAAAAGTATTTAGTCAGCCACCAATTGTGCAAGTTCTCCCACTTAAAAAGATGAGAGAGGACTGTAATTTTCATCATAGGTACACGTCAACTATGACAGACAAAATGAGAAAAAAAAATCCAGAAAATCACATTGTAGGGTTTTTAATGAATTTATTTGCAAATTATGGTGGAAAATAAGTATTTGGTCAATAACAAAAGTTTCTCAATACTTTGTTATATACCCTTTGTTGGCAATGACACAGGTCAAACGTTTTCTGTAAGTCTTCACAAGGTTTTCACACACTGTTGCTGGTATTTTGGCCCATTCCTCCATGCAGATCTCCTATTTTCACTCAAAATCTCACGATACATGGCCCCATTCATTCTTTCTTTTACACGGATCAGTCGTCCTAGTCCCTTTGCAGAAAAACAGCCCCAAAGCATGATGTTTCCACCCCCATGCTTCACAGTAGGTATGGTGTTCTTTGGATGCAACTCAGCATTCTTTGTCCTCCAAACACGACGAGTTGAGTTTTTACCAAAAAGTTCTATTTTGGTTTCATCTGACCATATGACATTCTCCCAATCCTCTTCTGGATCATCCAAATGCACTCTAGCAAACTTCAGACGGGCCTGGACATGTACTGGCTTAAGCAGGGGGACGTCTGGCACTGTAGGATTTGAGTCCCTGGCGGCGTAGTGTGTTACTGATGGTAGGCTTTGTTACTTTGGTCCCAGCTCTCTGCAGGTCATTCACTAGGTCCCCCCGTGTGGTTCTGGGATTTTTGCTCACCGTTCTTGTGATCATTTTGACCCCACGGGGTGACATCTTGCGTCGAGCCCCAGATCGAGGGAGATTATCAGTGGTCTTGTATATCTTCCATTTCCTAATAATTGCTCCCACAGTTGATTTCTTCAAACCAAGCTGCTTACCTATTGCAGATTCAGTCTTCCCAGCCTGGTGCAGGTCTACAATTTTGTTTCTGGTGTCCTTTGACAGCTCTTTGGTCTTGGCCATAGTGGAGTTTGGAGTGTGACTGTTTGAGGTTGTGGACAGGTGTCTTTTATACTGATAACAAGTTCAAACAGGTTCCATTAATACAGGTAACGAGTGGAGGACAGAGGAGCCTCTTAAAGAAGAAGTTACAGGTCTGTGAGAGCCAGAAATCTTGCTTGTTTGTAGGTGACCAAATACTTATTTTCCACCATTTGCAAATAAATTCATTAAAAATCCTACAATGTGATTTTCTGGAAAAAATAATCTCAATTTGTCTGTCATAGTTGACGTGTACCTATGATGAAAATTACAGGCCTCTCTCATCTTTTTAAGTGGGAGAACTTGCACAATTGGTGGCTGACTAAATACTTTTTTCCCCCACTGTATATGACAAACATATACATATTTGAGGTCACCATACAAATGACCTGCTGTAACATTCAGAACAGGTTTCAACTAATGATATATCAGATTTCTTTAAAAATAATGCAAGCCACGAATACCTTTGCTGCTGAAAGGAAAGCCCAGTAAGAGCTGCTCCTCATAGGTGCGTGTGATTGTCAGTGTGTCCAGCCTATGGCCTCCTGACATCCACGGCAGGACGAGTGGCGTTAGTGGTTGGATGATGACTGGCAGTGGGTTGGACTCCAAAATAGCCTGAAGACTGATTGGTGTTCCTATGAGTAAATGCCAAAAAGACCCAGTTTGGAATGGTGCCTAAGCTATCATCCTCAGAGTGGTCGGTAAGAGGTTGTAGATTCACCTCACTTAACTGTGCAACTCACCTTCTCGTCTATCATTTCTGATTATGTAGAACCCTATAGTGGAGATGGTGACAGGTATGGACAGGACCTTCCCATGTTTACTCTCAAACACTGCTCTCTGCTGGCAGAGCAGGGAGTGGACCAGGATGTTCTTTGGAACGTTGGGGTGGGAGGTGGTAAAAACATAAACATGAACTACATAAGAGCTGCACAACATTTCAAGTGGTATTAATACGTGACATGTTGAAAGCACCGAGCTGTCTGTTTAAACGACTAGCACACAGCTCAGACACCCATGCATACCCCACAAGACATGCCACCAGAGGTCTCTTCACAGTCCCCAAGTCCAGAACAGACTACGGGAGGCGCACAGTACTACACAGAGTCATGACTACATGGAACTCTATTCCACATCAGTTAACTGATGAAAGCAGTAGAATCAGATTTTAAAAAACAGATAAAAATAAACCTTATGGAACAGCAGGGACTGTGAAGCAACACAAACATAGGCACAGACACATGCATACACACACATGATAACATACGCACTATACACACACGTACACATGGATGTTGTGTTGTAGATATGTGGTAGTGGAGTATGGGCCTGAGAGGACACACTTAGTGTGTTGTGAATTATGTAATGAATGTATTGTAATGTTTTTAAATGTTATAACTGCCTTAATTTTGCCGGACCCCAGGAAGAGTAGCTGCTGCCTTGGCAGCAGCTAATGGGGATCCATAATAAATACAAATACAAATACAAAATATGTGACTGAGTGAGTGGAGAGATTCTTTCATATACTCTTATAAGAAAAGGCATTGCAAATCAGAACACTTGAAAAAGACTGATTCGGTCGATAAAAGACAGGTCTTTGCAAAGTTTACAAACCTACAGTACAGTATTACAATACAGTCCATTTTTAGAAAGATCAAGTAATTAGAGACATTAATTATTTGAACCCCGAACCACTGTGCTAAAATAGCTTCAGGCAGTTGATAATATCACTAAGTATCAAAGGAAATAAATCACACTCACTGTGCTTGAGCTGATACTGTCCAGTTCCTGTTGTCCAAGAAAGCCCTCCGTTACATTGATGATCTTAGGAAAGGAGTCCTTGAATTTTTCAGCAAACTCTCCAAGATTGTATTCTTGATGTCCCCAGTGTAGTTTGCTAGCGTCCATGACCATTTTTGCATTTACTGGACGAAAACAAATTGGAGGAAGTGGAATGTTCAGGAAGGTTAACAAATGATTAAGCGACAACAGCTTTCCCAGCCCCATTTCCTTGTAACCTTTGAAACGTTAAATGCCTGTGTAGCCCTGCACTGTAGATAAACAACACACTCACCAATGCTTTGTCACTCTGTAATGGTATCTACAAGGCACACAGTGCCTTCAGAAAGTATTCATACCCCTTGACTTATTCCACATTTTGTTGTGTTACAGCCTGAATTCAAAATTAATTAAATATATTTATTTTCTCACCCATCTACACACAATTCCCCATAATGAAAAAGTAAAAACATGTTTTTAGAAAAGTTTGCAAAAATAATATATATACAGTGGGGGAAAAAAGTATTTAGTCAGCCACCAATTGTGCAAGTTCTCCCACTTACAAAGATGAGAGAGGCCTGTAATTTTCATCATAGGTACACGTCAACTATGACAGACAAGTTGAGAATTTTTTGTCCAGAAAATCACATTGTAGGATTTTTAATGAATTTATTTGCAAATTATGGTGGAAAATAAGTATTTGGTCACCTACAAACAAGCAAGATTTATGGCTCTCACAGACCTGTAACTTCTTCTTTAAGAGGCTCCTCTGTCCTCCACTCGTTACCTGTATTAATGGCACCTGTTTGAACTTGTTATCAGTATAAAAGACGCCTGTCCACAACCTCAAACAGTCACACTCCAAACTCCACTATGGCCAAGACCAAAGAGCTGTCAAAGGACACCAGAAACAAAATTGTAGACCTGCACCAGGCTGGGAAGACTGAATCTGCATTAGGTAAGCAGCTTGGTTTGAAGAAATCAACTGTGGGAGCAATTATTAGGAAATGGAAGACATACAAGACCACTGATAATCTCCCTCGATCTGGGGCTCCACGCAAGATCTCACCCCGTGGGGTCAAAATGATCACAAGAACGGTGAGCAAAAATCCCAGAACCACACGGGGGGACCTAGTGAATGACCTGCAGAGAGCTGGGACCAAAGTAACAAAGCCTACCATCAGTAACACACTACGCCGCCAGGGACTCAAATCCTACAGTGCCAGACGTGTCCCCCTGCTTAAGCCAGTACATGTCCAGGCCCGTCTGAAGTTTGCTAGAGTGCATTTGGATGATCCAGAAGAGGATTGGGAGAATGTCATATGGTCAGATGAAACCAAAATAGAACTTTTTGGTCAAAAACTCAACTCGTCGTGTTTGGAGGACAAAGAATGCTGAGTTGCATCCAAAGAACACCATACCTACTGTGAAGCATGGGGGTGGAAACATCATGCTTTGGGGCTGTTTTTCTGCAAAGGGACCAGGACGACTGATCCGTGTAAAGGAAAGAATGAATGGGGCCATGTATCGTGAGATTTTGAGTGAAAACCTCCTTCCATTAGCAAGGGCATTGAAGATGAAACGTGGCTGGGAACAGTGTGTGAAAACCTTGTGAAGACTTAAAGAAAACGTTTGACCTTTTCAGCATGACAATGATCCCAAACACACCGCCCGGGCAACGAAGGAGTGGCTTCGTAAGAAGCATTTCAAGGTCCTGGAGTGGCCTAGCCAGTCTCCAGATCTCAAACCCCATAGAAAATCTTTGGAGGGAGTTGAAAGTCCGTGTTGCCCAGCGACAGCCCCAAAACATCACTGCTCTAGAGGAGATCTGCATGGAGGAATGGGCCAAAATACCAGCAACAGTGTGTGAAAACCTTGTGAAGACTTACAGAAAACGTTTGACCTGTGTCATTGCCAACAAAGGGTATATAACAAAGTATTGAGAAACTTTTGTTATTGACCAAATACTTATTTTCCACCATAATTTGCAAATAAATTAATTAAAAATCCTACAATGTGATTTTCTGGATTTTCTTTTCTCATTTTGTCTGTCATAGTTTACGTGTACCTATGATGAAAATTACAGGCCTCTCTCATCTTTTTAAGTGGGAGAACTTGCACAATTGGTGGCTGACTAAATACTTTTTTTCCCCACTGTACCGTATATATCTCATTTACATAGGTATTCACACCCTACTTTGAAGAAGCACCTTTTGCAGCGATTATAGCTGTCTTTCTGAGTAAGTCTCTAAGAGCCTTCCACACCTGGATTGTGCAACATTTGACCATTATTCTTTTCAAAACTCTTCTGTCAAATTGGTTGTTGATCATTGCTAGACAACCATTTTCAGGTCTTGCCATAGATTTTCAAGTGGATTTAAGTCAAAACTGTAACTCGGCCACTCAGGAACATTCACTGTCTTCTTGGTAAGCAACTCCAGTGTAGATTTGTGTCACGGTTTCGGCCGAGGCTGCTCCTTCTCCTTGTTCGGGCAGGCTTCGGCGGTCGTCGTCTCCGGAGTACTAGCTGCCACCGTTCTATGTTTCTATGTTTGATTGGTTTTGTCTGTTTTGTTACACCTGTTCCTTGTTAGTGTTCATTATGCGTCCTATTTAGTTCTCTTGAGTTTGGTCAGGTGTTGTGTGTAATTGTTCGATGTCACGTGTTGTGTTAGTTCGTTGTCCTGTTCTCTCTGTATATTTTTGTTAGAGAGAGTCCCGCACTTTGTGCGCCTTTATTTTGTACTTTACCATTGTGCGTAAAGTTCGCCTGTTGCCTGTTGCCGTGGTTGACTTGTTCTTTGGACTTCACTAAAGACGTCTGTTCGAAACCTCTGTGTGTCCTGCGTGTGATTCTACGCTACCTCTACACTCAACCCTGACAATTTGGCCTTGTGTTTTAGGTTGTTGTCCTGCTGAAAGTTGAATTCATCTCCCAGTGTCTGGTGGAAAGCAGACTGAACCACGTTTTCCTCTCGGGTTTTTGCCTGTGCTTAGCTCCATTCCGTTTCTTTTTTATCCTGAATAACTCCCCAGTCCTTCACGATTACAAGCATACCCATAACATGATGAAAATATGGAGAGTGGTACTCAGTAATGTGTTTTATTGGATTTTTGCAGTATTACTTAAGTGCCTTGTTGCAAACAGGATGCATGTTTTGGAATAATTTTATTCTGTACAGTCTTCCTTCTTTTCACTCTGTCAATTAGGTTAGTATTGTGGAGTATTGCCCCAAACATAACTTCACCATGCTCACAGGGATATTCAATGTCTGCTTTTTTATTTTTACCCATCTACCAATAGGTGCCCTTCTTTGCTAGGCATTATACAACCTCCCTGGTCTTTGTAGTTGAACCTGTCTTTGAAATTCACTGCTCGACTGAGGGACCTTACAGATAATTATATGTGTGGGGTACAGAGATGAGGTAGTCATTCAAAAAACATGTTCAACACTATTATAGCGAACAAAGAGAGTCCATGCAACTTATTATGTGACTTGTTAATCACATTTTTAATCCTGCATTTATTTAGGCTTGCCATTACAAAAGGGTTGAATACTTATTGACTCAAGACATTTCAGCTTTTAATTTAGAATTGAAAACATAATTCCACTTTGACATTATTGGGTACTGTGTGTAGTCAGTGACCAAAAACCTAAATGTAATCCATTTTAAAGTCAGGCTGAAACACAACATAATTAGGAAAAAGTCAAGGGGTCTGAATACTTTCTGAAGGCACTGTATTCAGGCACTCTTAGAGGAACTATAAAATCTATAAAAAGTGTCTATCATCAAAGTGGCCATGTATATTTTGCACCTGGACTACTAAGTAGCAGCAAAAGTAGCCAAATTATTTTGCGCTATTTGTTATTTATTGCTGCTACTTGGCAATAAATCTAATGATTATCAACCATTGGCAATAAAATAATAGTTGAATAACAATGGCAATGGCATAACAGTGCAATTAGTTATTTGAAGGCTACTGGATACAATAAAAGTATACAGTGCCTTCGGAAAGTATTCAGACCCCTTGACTTTTTCCACATTTTGTTAAGTTACAGCCTTATTCTAAAATGGATTAAATTGTTTTTCCATAATGACAAAGCAAAAACAGGTTTTTAGACATTTTTGCAAATGAATTACAAATAAAAACCGGAAATATCACATTTGCATAAGTATTCAGACCCTTTACTCAGTACTTTGTTGAAGCACCTTTGTCAGCGACTACAGCCTCGAGTATTCTTGGGTATGACGCTACAAGCTTGGCACACCTGTATTTGGGGAATTTCTCCTATTCTTCTCTGCAGATCCTCTCAAGCTCTGTCAGGTTTGTTGGGGAGCGTCGCTGCACAGCTATTTTCAGTTCTCTCCAGGGATATTCGATCGGGTTCATGTCCGGGCTCTGGCTGGGTCACTCAAGGACATTCAGAGACTTGTCCCAAAACGACTCCTGCGTTGTCTTGGCTGTGTGGTTAGGGTCGTTGTGCTGTTGGAAGGTGAACCTTTGCCCTAGTCTGAGGTCCTGAGCACGCTGGAGCAGGTTTTCATCAAGGATCTCTCTGTACTTTGCTCTGTTCATCTTTCCCTCGATCCTGACTAGTCTCCCAGTCCCTGTCGCTGAAAAACATCCCCATGCTTCACCGTAGGGATGGTGCCAGGTTTCCTCCAGACGTGACGCTTGGCATTCAGGCCAAAGACTTCAATCTTGGTTTCATCAGACCAGAGAATCTTGTTTCTCATGGTCTGAGAGTTCTTTGGGTGCCTTTTGGCAAACTCCAAGCGGGCTGTCATGTGCCTTTTACTGAGGAGTGGCTTCCATCTGGCCACTCTACCATAAAGGCCTGATTGGTGGAGTGCTGCAGAGATGGTTGTCCTTCTGGAAGGTTCTCCCATCTCCACAGAGCTCAGTTTGCCAGGCGGCCAGCTCTAGGAAGAGTCTTGTTGGTTCCAAACTTCTTCCATTTAAGAATGATGGAGACCACTGTGTTCTTGGGGACCTTCAATGCCGCAGACATTTTTTGCTACCCTTCCGCATCATGTCTCGGAGCTATTTAATCTATTTTAGGCTGTAACATAACAAAATGTGGAAAAAGTAGAGGGGTCTGAAAACTTTACGAAGGCACTGTAGGTGAGCGCTGATGCTGCCCTGTGATAAGCAGTGCCCATTTTGTCAAACGGATGCAAAATATGCGGCGCTCAACCAACATTCCGTTAAAAAAAAAATCTAACATAAATCATGTAGCAGATATAGCATATGG